GCGGCGGACCAGAAGGAGAACTGCTGTCAAGTGCTAAGTACATAACAGGGTCCTTCTGGTCAAAGTGAGAGCAAATTCCAACAAAGGGAAGAGTAAAGCTGTCTCTACATGCATCACCCACATCATCATCATCTTCATCATGTTTGGCCCAGCCATCTACCTCTATTGCCGTCCCTAACAAGAATTCGCCTTTGATAAGGTGGTGGCTGTTTTCCATACAGTGATCTTCTCCTTGATGAACCCCATTATCTACACTTTGAGGAACAAGGAGATCAAGCAAGCCATACTGAAGTTGTTTGGCAAAATTAAAGTTCAAAGCAGATGATGACAATATTTCATTATCAAAGACATTGGAAAAGTTGTGCCCTACCCACGATGCTACAACATAACCTGCTGAAAGTTTGCAAGCAAGTGGTAGAAAGGTCACTTGGTTGCCTATAACTGTCTGAAAATCAAAACCAGGACAGAATCAGAGTGAACCAAAGTCCACATCTAACTCAAGAATATTAGTCATAAACAATTCAGAGATCTAAAAGGCAGATAGGAGAAGGGTGAGGGTTTTTGAATTGTGGTTCATTGAATTTGAATGATTATCGTGCATCCCATGAACTGCAAAAATCACAAAGAAGTCTTAGATTGAACCTCAACAAAAGAATCAATCAAAGCCAAGATCACCAAAAAACCCTCTATCATACTTTGGCCATGTCATGCAAGCTGACTCAACTTGAAAATTAAATCACGATGGGAGTGATCAACAGAAAAATGATTAGAAGTCACCCTAGTACCCATTGGCTGGAAACTATGAAGGATGACACTCGGATGACACGGTAGAGCCAAAGGAGGCTGCATGAGACAGAAAAGCATGGAAACTGTTGATCCATTCAGTGACTGAGGGCTGGACATAATTGACAATGATAATGATCAAATATGATCAAATTTTCAAATAAATGTTGACAATTGAATTTCAGCCCAATTCATGAAATCGTGTGAATTCTGTGATTTCCTTCACTTGTTTTTTCTCCATTCCAAACTGTTATTTTGTGTTTTGGAAAATCTGACTTCTTCAATCTATTCACTGAATGCTCCCATCTCTGGCATTAGCCTGGATTCAAAGAACAATTAGCAACTTTAAAAAAAGTTGCTAATTAAGTCTGAAAAGGACATTTCTTGGATCTCTTGAGATTCAGTTGCATTCTGGTTAAAGGTACTGGAATGAGGTTTCAAATCCAATCAAGTTATCTCAAGATAGTTGGTCCTTCATGTATTTATATGGATTTATAAAGCAGTGGCACTAGCAATAGCACTTAGACTTATATACTGCTTCGCAGTGCTTTACAGCCCTCTTTAAGTGGTTTACAGAGTCAGCATATTGCCCCCACAACAATCTGGGTCCTCATATTCTATCTAATTGAACTGCTGACACTTTTGTTTATATTTTCCAAATCACAAATCTAAACCAAATTTATATTGTCAAAAGGTTTCAAAAGCATTCTTTTTAAAATTAAATTTTGATTTTTAAAAAAAAGTTCAAGTTTTGAAGAAAAGTCTACAAAATCTCAGTTGTTGCACACTTATTTAAAAGTGAACCAGGCGGTTTTGCAAGGTTTCAGCAGCGGCAGGGATTCGCGATACTGCGCGATCCCTGCTGCGTTCCCCGCCAAGGTTCCCCTGATCCGTTTGGATCTGGGGGATATAGCTGCCCCGTAGAGCTGAATCTGGGGGATAGAGCTTGGATCTGGGGGATATAGCTGCCCCGTAGCTGAAGACAGGGGGGATCCGGACAGGGGCTTGGGGGTGTCGCAGACCCCCTCCCCAGCCGGCAGAACCCCCTTTTCCCAAGGCGGAAGAGCGGCGGTCAGCAATGGCCGCCACGAAGAAATCTGCAGCCGGACAAGCAGGAGCAGGAGGGAGAAAGTTGGAAGAATTACGAAAGTTGCTTTCAACCTGGACAAGGCAAGAGAAAGTGCCCTGGGGGCTTGAAGGCTGCTAAGGATACATTGTTTCCAGTGAGAGTTACAAGCTGCGAATATTCTTAAAGGGAAAGGTTTTGTTTTTTTTTTCGTTTCACTCTCCTTCCTAACGTGACAGTGGATGGAAAAATCTTTTTGGCTGTGAGTGGGAAGGGAGAGGGGAAAAAAATTGGAGCAAAATTTGAAAATAAGGAGAAGATTGCCTAGAATTCTAAAGAGTTACTAAACATCAATAAGACTTCTAAAAGATATATTTTAAAGGGAACTTTGTGACTAAACTTTAACCCCAGAAAGAGAAAGTGAAGAAGGAGAAAGTATTTAAAAGGAACAGCTTGTTTGGATTGTGTGGTGATTTTGGAACTTTTGAGAATTATTTCTGACTAAAAGCACTTGGGTGGTTGTTTGGAAAAACTTTTTCTCTACATAATGGCATCACTTGTGGATGGACTGAAACTTGTATATCAAAAATATGAAAAAGAAAAGCAAGAAGGGAAAGATGTCCTTGGCACTCTTTTTCAATTTTTAGAAATGGCGGTTTGTACTTATGTAAAGCTAAATGAGCAACAGGATGATGGGGACAAAGAAGAAGCCATCTTTGATGAACAAATAACTTTGGTCGGAGAAGGAAAAAAGAAAGAGAAAAAGGAAAAGAAAACTTTAAGACCTGGAAAAACAACCCAAAAAGACAAGAATAAGGTGAAAAGGGGATATTATGTTAGGAAACAACAGAAAGGGGGAAAGCAGAATAAAAGGGAGATGGAGAGACAAGGGGGTAAAGAGGACAAGGAGAAGAAGAAGCAAGGGAGAAAGGAAGGGATGAGAAGCCTTAATGGTGGGGAGCAAGATGTAAAGAAGCAAAAGTTTTTTAGAGATAATGGATAAATTTTTATTGAAAAAGGGATTCTAGAAAGGTACATAAGATTGTATTTCTATATTTGTATTTAGAAATAACTATAGAAAATTGGAAATAATATGTAATTTAAAATGTGATAAAATATTTAGTATAATCTAGTGAAATTTTTGTTAAGAAAAGGGGAGTACTGTAATGAAACAATGATTTAAGATATGTGATGTGGGGGGGGGGGAACAATTTTGGAAAGCATAAGTGTTCCCACAAAGGCATGATATTTAACTGAAATGGGTAAAATGTTTATTGTTAATATTAATGATTAGACTATGTTATCCTAGTGAAACTTTTTGAGAAATGAGAGATTTGAAGTAGAAGAAGGGGGAACATCGTAATGAAATAATGATCTATAATATGTGATGTGGGGCGGCGGGAATAACTATGGAAAATAGGTGCTCCCATAAAAGTATGTGATTTAACTGAAAAGTAATGTGCTAAATATTTAAGATATGAATATCAATATCAATGAATAGATTTGTATTGGTTTTGATAATACTGTATAATTTTAGAATGTACCAGACAGAATCCCAATGTAAGTTATGTGTTCTATATTAAGTATTATAAATATAGGGGAAAGAGATAAAGGCATCATACTCCATTTAGTGTACAGGAGAAGTTTGTTGTTGTTTTTTTAAAGAAGAAAGATAAATGGATAGCTGGAAATAGAACAGACAAAGAATAATAAATATTATGATTCGAATTGAGAGGAGATAAATAAAATAAAATTGAGAAAATTTAAAAGAGAGGAGAAGTTATATAGAAAATTGAAAATGCTAATAAGATATGGAATGGTATGTAAAATGAATATGAATTTGAATTTGTGTCTGTACCAAGAGTTTTAACCCGGGACTAAGCAACTTTCAGAAAAGAGATTTTTTATGCTTTTATGTTTTGTGTGTTTGTGTATTTATGTTTTGTATGTCTTTAAAAATTAATAAAATTTGTTCAAAAAAAAAAAGTGAACCAGTAATATAAGCCAGTAATATTATATATAATATATATAATAATATAATATAAGCACAAACTGCCTCTTTCTCCCTCTCCCTCCCTTCCTCCCCCCCTCTCTCTTTCCCTCCCTCCCTCCCTCCCCCCCCCCCCCACACTGAATAATTGTAAATTTTAAAGTCAGTAATCATGTGTTTAGTGACTGATAATAAGTTTTATTGATAATCCCTTTGGATCTTGACTTTGCAAACAAATGAACTACAGAGGATTTATTTTTATGTTATTTGTATCCTGCCTTTATTCTTTTGTTTTACAAATATTTCAAGGCAACAAACGTATCCAATACTTGTTCCCCTTCCCATTTTCCCCACAACAACAGCCCTGTGAGGTCAGTCCTTTGTTACAAAAATCAGTAATTGCTCTAGTTAGACATTGCATTGTTTTAATTTCTTCTGACTGATTTAAAAGTCTTGTTCTCTCCCCTCTTTTATTTCTGCACATTTAGGACATTCTGAGTAATTTCAGACTGAATTCAAGATTTACTTATTAATATCTAGGATGATGACAATTTTTCAAAACCATCTCTTTCCCAATATCTCTTAATTATAGTTGACTGGGACCATATTGTGTTTGCTCAGAGTGTTGAATGGGTTTTGGAGCTCAAATTCATATATCTTTTGAGTTACTTCAATAAACATCTTTTTAAAAAAAAAAAAAAAAGAAATATCTGTTTTCTGCCTGTTTCTTCTATCAGCAGTCAGGTCTGCTAAATTTCTAAGCCAAAAGTAAACAAGGCTCAAATGTATGCACAGACACACATAGAAATTATGAAAACTTTATCAATTAGTAGCACTTTAGTACACTTTGTTAGTCCCACTTTATAATGCTTTGGTAAGACCACAGTTGGAATACTGAGTCCAGTTTTAGTCGCCATGATAAAAAAAAGATGTTGAGACTGTGGAAAGGGAACTTCACGAGGACAGTGGTGTCACCCAAGCAGGAAAAGCCCAAAGGGAACATCAGGCCAGCCATAAAACAAACTTGCATAGGAAAAGGAATCAAATAAAAGGTATTAAAGAAGCCCCTTAGACAAAAGCCTAAATAATTAAGAAACTAGGGAAACAAGAAAAGAAAACCCTTACAAACACAAGACATGCCAAATAAGCAAAACAAACAGACAAAAGACACAAAATATATTACAAAGGAGACAGACAAGAGATTGCCACAAAACAAACATAAGAAACCATTAAGCTAAAAAAGATTAGGACGAAACTGATAAAACAATCAAACCACCACGCAAAGTTTGCCTTCCACACCCCACGGAGTTTACCCTCCGGCGGGAAGAAAGACAACCCCTGACAGGATTTAAAACATTAAGAAATACAAACACAAGCACTCACACAAAAGGAGAAAAGGGTATAAAAATCAGGGACTTACCATTCGAAGGTAGCTAGCCCAGGAAGGCAGACTTCTTGCTATCTCTCGCCTTCCTGAAAAATAAAAAGATCCAGCTTTCAAGCAGTTGTCCGTATCCTTGCACCGGATCTCTCCCAGCAGGAAAATCGAATCCTCAGAAGAAAGGTATTTTGACAGTCTTTCAACAAGACTCTAGAAAGAGTGCAGAGAAGAGCAACAAAGATGAAAGAGGACTGGAAGCTAAAACATGAAGAATGATTGCAGGAATTGGGTGTGTCTGGTTTAATGAAAAGAAGGACTGGGGTGACATGATAGAGCAGTGTTCCAATATCTCAGGGGCTGCCACAAAGAAGAGGAAGTCAAGCTCTTCTCCAAAGCACCTGAGGGCAGGACAAGAAATAATGGGTGGAAACTAATCAAGAAGAGAACCAACCCAGAACTAAGGATAAATTTCCTGACAGTTAGAACAATTAATCAGTGGAACAACTTCCTCCAGAAGTTGGGAATGCTCCATCCCTGGAGGTTTTAAAGAAGAGATTGGACAACCATTTGTCTGAAATAGTACAGGATTTCCTGTTTGAACAAAGGGTTGGACGAGAACAGGGGTCGCCAAACTTTTGGACCTCATGGACCACCAAACTCATAATTTTAAATCCCAATGATCAGAGACCCTGGAAAAATGCCCCAAAAAGTCTGTAGGAAAATTCCCCGCCCCATTTTCCTATTGATCAATCATTCTTTATTTGGGATCACAGGATACCGTCTCCAGCTCCATTTTCAGGGGGAGAGAAAGAGAGAGAGAGAGACTTTTGGCTTCATGCAAGGAAAGCAGCAGAAGCAGCAGAAGTCTTTCTTTCTCTCCCCCAAACTCCACCAGAAATAAGTCTTTGTGAGACTTGTTGCACTGGCACAGTCTCTTGGAGCAGGATGCCTTGCAGGGTCCCAAAGACTCATTTCTGGCAGAGTTTGGGGGAAAGAAAGAAAGATTTTTGCTGCTTTCCTTGTGTTCAGCCAAAAGCAGAAGAAGAAAAAAGTGGAAAGAAGCAGCCCAGTGGCCTGACGAGGTATGTGGGGCAAGTCCCCCCCCCATGCCCTTTCCTCCCTCCCCTCACTACCTCATGTTGTTCGCAATGCAAGCGACGCAAACTTTGTGTTCCCATGGGCCATATGGCCAGCTCAGCTGGATTAGTTAGTTTATTGTCATCGCACCTCGTACAACGAAATCTAACACCATCATCAGTGTACATCATGACCATGAAAATAAACACAAACACATATCCTTCACACTCCACACATTAATTGCTTGGGTGGTGCTTTGGGGGTGACATTTCTCTGCAGACCACCAAAATTTTCTCGTGGACCACCAGTGGTCCCCGATCACTGGACTAGAACACCTCTAAGGTCCCTTCCAATCTTGTTATTCTATTAATTATTTTTTACCATTGGAAAAAATATTACAATTCCCAATCAAATGCGTGAATCTACTGCAGAGATTTTAGAAATCACATTCACGATGGCCACAAATGGATGCTGAGTCTTGTGATAGCTTTTAAGCAAGATCAATAGTGTTGGTATATCTTTGATAAGATGGGAGAGTCACTTTTGTGGTGTAACCGCAGCGATCATTTATTTCTTCTCATTATAGAGGTGCCTGAGAGGCACTAGAGGGCAGCAAAAGGCAGACGGAAAAAAATTCTCAAGATTATAAATAAGAGTCTCTGTGGGTTTTTGGGTACGATTAAAAAAATGCCTCGGTGCTGCATATTTGTAGTGAATCCCTGGGTGGGCAGTGCAAAACCATTCAGTTAACATGTTGTGCCTTTGTGTATTGTCTAATTTCAGTCAATGTACCTTCTACGCCAGGTTTTTTTTTTAAAAAAAATAGTAGCTCAACTAATTGTAGGTTCCTCAAAAGCATGAGGAAGAATGGTAGTAGCAATTAGCATAGAGAATCAGCTTCTAGGCTTACTTCCTTCTACTCCTATCCTACAGAAGCTGACATTATTAACACAAATGCTGGGCTAGAAACCAGGAGACTATGAGTTCTAGTCCCACGTTAGACATGAAAGCTGGCTGGGTGACTTTGCGCCAATCAATCAGGAAACTTTATAGTCCCATTTTTGGCATGAAAGATGGCTGGGTGGCTTTGGGCCAATCAACCAAGAGACTGAGAGTTCTAGTCCCATTTTTGGCATGAAAGGTGGCTGGGTGGCTTTGGGCTAATCAACCAGGAGACTGAGAGTTCTAGTCCCACTTTCAGCATGAAAGGTTATTCTTCAGCCCAACCAACCTCACAGGGTTGATGTTATTGTTAAAAAGGGGGGCGGGGAGGAAGGAATATTATGTATGTTCATTGCCTTGGGTTATTTTTGAAAAATAACAAAAGCATGATTTTAAAAAAAATCTAATTTAAATCTGAAGTGTTTAGCAGAAGCCACAAAGTCACACGTGTCACCATGCAAATGACACAGATTATGGAATGTTTATTGGCCAATTATACACACTTTGCATGATTTCACCAATGGCTTTTTATCTCTTGTGACATCTCTTCCTTCCTCCACCACACCCTGCCGGCACCCATGTAAATGGAGCTCTGCCAAGTTGGTCAGGCCAGAGGCCTCTCATTGCAAGGTGCCTTCCTTCCTGTATTCAGAAGAGATAGAGAAAGGTGGGGCACAAAGACTTCTTGGATGATTGTGTGTGCCCAAATGTCTGTAGGGGGAACAAGGCAGTAAGGAACATCATCATACTAGATGACATTAGGAAACATATGACTGTCACCTGTCCCAAATGTGCTTTTTCAAGAGGAAACTGGACTTTCTGGTTTTTCTTTGAAGACATCTCGCTTTTCATCCAAGAAGCTTCTTCAGATCTGACTGGATGATGAGGAATGGAAGGATTTATACTCCTTGCAGACAGCTGGTCATTTGCATGCTTTTAGCAAGTCATTAAGGCTATTGGGAGATTTATCTATGTCATCAAGATCACCTGAGTGGTGCAAATGGGTGTGAAGCTTTCTTGGAACTGTTGAAAGGACTGTCTTGTAAACTGGAGATAGATGATGTAGTATCCCTCCCCGTCTGTTAAGAGAGGGATGTTCAATTTTGACATAGATGGCCTCTTTGATCTCTTTCAAACCAGCAGTCCTCTCTGTCCAAAATGTAGACTTTGCTGTCTTCAAAATTTAAATGCAGATGGACTATTGAATCTTGTTCTGAGGGTTTGTTCTCCTATGTTGTGCCATGCAATTTATGAAGTGGCTGTTTTGCATTATTCGGGTATCCCTGAGGACGCAGATAAACCTCCAGGTGGTCTCAACGGCTCTCTAAAATAATGCAAATTATCAGCTATCTGCGAGGAGTATAAGTCCTTCCATTCCCCACCCTCCAGTAAGAACTGAAGATGCTTCTTGGATGAGAAGCAAAATGTCTTCAAAGAAAAACCAGAAAGTCTAGCTGCCTCTTGAAAAAGCACTCTGAGTCAACTATGACCTGGATGACTGAAAATCTCCATAGACATTTAGCTGATAAATATGTAGACATTAGAATAAGCGTGATTATGTCAAGCTGTACAATACAGCCTCCTTCGAGGAGATGTCTTCTGCTGAAAGGATCACTTGGGGAAGGTATGGAGGAACAATTCTAAGGCAGTGTTTCACAATCTTGGTATCTTAAATACATGTGGATTTCAACTCCCAGAATTCCCCAGTCTAGAAAGCACTCAAACTCATTAAAAGTGGTTTGCATGAAATGAAATAAACCAGCTAGATGACAGAGATCGTTGCATGGATTCTGAACCAACATCTGTGAATGCCGATGTAGGATATGACGTGACAAGGAAATCCAGCTTTGCAGAATGTTCTTAAAGTGTGGAATAAGTTAATCTCCCTTTTTTTTTCGCTTGCATAATGCTTTTGGTTACAAAACAACCAAGAATTGCTTATCAAGCTAAGCTGTATAAAAAGTATCAAATATTAAATTTAACCAAGCTTATTGTGTTGTGCATAGGCAGTCACTCAGTCCTTAATTGACCTGGTAAAGTATACAATGTGAATTCAGTTAAGTAAATAGAATAGAATAGATAAACAGAGTTGGAAGGGACCTTGGAGGTCTTCTAGTCCAACCCCCTGCCTAGACAGGAAACCCTTCACCACTTCAGACAAATGGTTGTCCAATCTCTTCTTAAAAACTTCCAGTGTTGGAGCATCCACAACTTCTGGAGGCAAGTTGTTCCACTGACTAACTGTTCTGTCAGGAAATTCCTCCTTAGTTCTAGGTTGCTTCTCTCCTTGATTAGTTTCCATCCAGGTTGCTTCTTGTCCTGTCCTCAGGTGCTTTGGATAATAGCTTGACTCCCTCTTCTTTGTAGCAACCCCTAAAGGTAGTCCTTAAATTGCAATGATTTCTTTAGTGACCATCTGAAATTAAAATGGCACTGCAAAAAGTGACTTATGAACAATGTTCATACATACAACTATTGCAGCATCCCCAAGGTCATGTGATCAAAATTTGGGCGCTTGGCAACTGGCATGTACTTACGACTGTTATAGTGTCCTGGAGTCATGTGATCGCCATTTGTAACCTTCTCAGCTGGCTTCCAGCAAGCAAAATCAATGGAGGAAGCCAGATTCATTTAATGACTGCATGATTCACCCATCCTGGGACACAGCCCATTACTGGGCCTTGAACTGTTCAGAACCAGGTTGCGGAAGTGGCAGACGAGTGCACTTGCTTCTGCATTTGCACAAGAAGCAGGCAGTGATTCACTTAACAATGGTGGCAAGAAAGGTCATAAAATGGGGCCTTGCTAAACAACTGCCTTGCTTAGCAACAGAAATCTTGGGCTCAATTGTGGTCATAAATTGTGGTCATAGATAGATAGATAGATAGATAGATAGATAGATAGATAGATAGATACAGAGAGAGGGAGGATAGATAGAGATAGATAGATAGATAGATAGATAGATAGATAGATAGATAGATAGATAGATAGATAGATAGATAGATAGATAGTTGGAGAGGGGGGATAGATAGAGATAGATAGATAGATAGATAGATAGATAGATAGATAGATAGATAGATAAGATAGAGAGAGACAGAGAGGTAGAGATGGAGAGAGAGAGAGAGAAGAGAGAGAGAGATACAGTGATAGATATAGATATATTACTGGAAATACATTTACATAAACAATGCAAACAATGGGTTTGCTTAGTCACCATGGTGTTGGCTTAACAACCGTCACAAAGATGTGTTGTAAAATTGGGTCAGTCACATGATGACCCACCGAATGATCCACACAACCTATGACCACAATTCCAGTCATCAATTCTGGCCGTTAAGGACTACCTCTATTCAACTAGTCCATTTCTTGTGTTGAAAACTGAAAATGGTTCAAATATCTTTTCGGTTTCAAAAGTTAGTTGGGTATTTATCTGAAAGAATAAACCAACCACAGCAGCACTTTGTCTTGAGGTCAAAGGGAAATGAAATGCAGGCAAGGTGTCCTATGATAATTAAATAACATGAAACAATTTCAGAACAATTGTTGACAGGCATTTTTTCATTAACAAACTAATGAGTAGCACAGCATGGGAAGAATTTTGTAACCTGTTGTTAGCCCTGCCAGGGAACAGTAGTCCTTGATCATAAGTAAATGATCATTCAAAGTTATAATGGCACTGAAAAAAAGTGACTTATGACCATCTTTAACACTTGGTGGTGGCGCAGTGGTTAGAGTGCAGTACTGCTACTTCTGCTGACTGCCTGCAACTTGGCAGTTAAAATCCCACCAGGCTCAAGGTTGACTCAGCCTCCCATCCTTCCAAGGGGGGTAAAATGAGGACCCAGATTGTTGGGGACAATAGGCTGACTCTATAAAAAGCTTAGAGAAGGCTGTAAAGCACTGTAAAGTGGTATATAAGTCTAAGTGCTATTGCTATTATAGCTGTTGCAGCATCTCCCTAGGTAGATGATAAAAAATTTGGACACACAACCACTGGCTCACATTGCAGTATCCCAGATCATGTGGTCACCTTTTAGGACCTTCTGATAAGCAAAGTCAACGGAGTTAAAGAAGCTAGGTTTGCTTAACAACCGTGTTGCTAACTTAATGATTTCAGTGATTCACTTAACAACTGTGGCAAGAAATGTCATAAAATGGGGCCAAACTCCCTTAATGCCTAGTCTTGCCTAGCAAGAGAAATTTTGGATTCAATTGTGGTGGTAAGACAAGACTGCCTGTATTCCAGAGGGAAAAAATTCATGACAATTGCTGGCTGGAGAACTCTGGAGTTGAAGCTCACACATCTTTTAAGACAGGAGTCTCTAACCTTGGCAACGTTAAGCTGGTTGAGGAATTCTGGGAGTTGAAGTCCACAAGTCTTAACGTTACCAAGGTTAGAGACTCCTGTTTTACAAAACACCCTCTTATATTACCACTTCTTACAATACTAGACAACACAGTATCAACAGTAGAGACCTTCAAGTTTCTAGGTTCTATAATATCTCAAGTCTTAAAATGGACACCTAACACCAAAAACATCATCAAAAAAGCACAACAAAGAATGTTATTTCTGTGCCAACCCACAAAGCTCAAACTGCCCAAGGAGCTGCTGATACAGTTCTACAGAGGAATTATTGAGTCTGTCATCTGCACCTCTATAACTGTCTGCAACCAAACAAGACAGACATGGATTTCAACTAATAGTTTGAACTGAAGAAAAAAACAATTGCTACCAGTCTGCCTTCCATTGAGGACCTGTATACTGCACGATCCAGAAAGAGGACTGTGAAAAGACCTACAGACCCCTCACATCCTGGACATAAATTGTTTCAACCTCTACCCAGGGGTGGGATACTACAGGGTTAACTACTGGTTTGGGATTTACAAGCTTCCCTGCCCGCTATGAGCCAGTTCAGCAGCTGAAGTTGAAATATCAGGAAATAAAGATCAGGTAAGAGCCCGGGTGGGCGATTGGGCAAAAACATCAGCAGACATAGAACTGGTTCTATGTCTGCTGCTCTTCAGAGCTACCGGTTCTACAGAGGTGGACAGAACCGGTAGAAACCCACCCCTGCCTCTACCTCAAAACAACGCTATAGGGTACTGCACGCTAGAACAACGAGACATAAGGACAGTTTCCTCCCCATACCATCACTCTGCTAAATGACTAATTCCTACAACACCATCAAACTATCTAGTAAGGCTATATGAGTATTATTCTCATCTTTCCTAATACCTATCTCCTTATCTTCTTATGCAGAGGTGGTATTCAGCAGTTTTTGACCAATTCTGGAGAACCAGTAGAGGAAATTTTGAGTCGTTCGGAAAACCAGCAAATACCACCTCTGACTGGCCCCGCCCCCATCTATTCTCTGCCTCCCAAGTCCCAGATGATCGGCTGGGTCTCCGGTCTTCTTTTGCACAGGAAAATGGACCTGGAAAGCAGGTTAGTGGAGTGGGGAGGGAGTGGGATTTTGTAGTAACCTTCCCCCTGGAGTGAGGAGGGAATGGAGATTTTACAGTATCCTTCCCCTGCCATGCCACCAAGCCACGCCCACCAAAATAAGCCATGCCCACCAAGCCAAGACCACAGAACCGGCAGTAAAAAAAATTTGAATCCCACCACTGTTCTTATGACTATAACTTTGTGGCTTAGATCTTACAATTTATATTGTTCTATTTAGTATCCTAGTATGATTTATGTTGATTGCTTATTTAGTATCCTATGACTGTCATTAAGTGCTGTATCTTATGATTTATGATGAATGTATCTTTATGATGATTATGATTGATCACTTGTCTTTTGTATGTACACTGAGAGCTTATGTATAGAAGACAAATTCCTTGTGTGTCTAGTCACACTTGCCAGTAAAATATATTCTGTTCTATCCTGTCCTATCCTATCCTATTATTTTAATTCTAATTCTAAAACTCTAATTCTAAAACTCTAATTCTAAAATTCTAATTCTAAAATTCTAAAATTCTAAAATTCTAATTCTACTCTACTCTACTCTGTCCTATTCTAGCTGCCAAGGTTGAAAAACACTGTTCTAAGATACAGAGAATTTAGTTAGTTTATTTTATTGTCATTGCACCTCGTACAACGAAATCAAACACCATCTTCAGTGCACATCATGACCATGGTCATGAAACTAAACACAAACACACAACCTTCACCCTTCACAAATTGAACCAGAAACCCCCGACACCACACCAACACTGCACTATACAGCAGAATTCAAAAGAGCTACTGCCCTGGGATAGAAACTGTTTTTCAACCTATTTGTTCTTGTTTTTATTATTCTATATGTCTGCCAGACAGTAATAGTTCAAAAAAAGGGTGCCCAGGATGAGATGGATCTTTGAGAATGTTTTGAACTTTCTTAAGGCAGCAGGAGCTATAAAGCTCTTCCAAAGAGGGGAGAGGGCAACCAATTTGGAATCATAATGACACCAAAGTGGTGAAATGTGCATTGGGATTATGCAAGGTCATCTCCATTCGTCTGTGCTGGTATCACAACATTGCACATAAGGAGCATTACATCATGAATTAAAATGAATTTAACTCACCTTATCCTGCTTTTTCCTCCCATCCCGAGTTTGGGCATTTCTTTTCGTCATTCACTGACTTGCAACTGACCTTTTGGAAAATGTGAGTGCTCGGGTGTGCATGTAACTTTAAAGATAAACAAATTCCTTAATCTCT